CTTTTTCCCTCCATTCACACACGATTGTGTTTTTGGAGCCTTTCTCTTCCCACCTAATAATCATTCCTATAAAAACTAAATAGACAATCTAATCAAGAAATTACTTATATGTTTCTTTATTTATTTTGTTCTTTTTATGTAGTCATAACAATTTACATGATACCTTTCGTTGGAACAATTCATTATATATCCTCGGAAACTAGAAGAGATTTACATGAATTTAGTGATGTGGTAAACTGTCATAGAATATCAAGTATGACACACTTATTCAAATGACCACCAATAGTCTAGTCTTGTTACATCTAACAGTGCTCAATTACTAATTTCTAAAGCAAGCTTTATGTTAGAGGGTGAAGGGTAATAACCTTTGGGCTATATTTCCTCTATCCCTAGTTGGGAAGATTCATTTCACCATGCCTCTGATTGGAGAGTTACGGTTATGGTCTTATGGACATCACTTGCATTTATATTTTGCAAAGTTGTAGGCATGTGATGTTCATTGTTAGTTAGAATTGATAAGATAATAGACAATTATTTGATTTTTACGTACTTATCCATAAATATAATATATGCAAAAGACAAAATTAAGCATTTTCGACGAAGAAATAATTGACATCATTTAAAATCTTTGCTTTATGTAATAGTGTAGATGAACTATGTTAGATCCGCCGGCCCTTGTGGAAGTCCGGTTTGTATTACTATAGCAATGTCACTAATCTGAAACGGGTAGGGTAGAGGTCAAGCCCACTTTGTCTTGCTCAAGCCTTTCCAATAATTACAAAAAGCTATAAAAGAGATCCTCCAGTTTGGATCAGGCCCATGTAGAAATCACTTGTTGATGATGATGTCCAAAATTACAATACTTATTGTAGAAACATTTCGGGAAAATTATCTTAAAAAGCCATAAACGTATTGTACGGCGGTTAACTCAGTCATAAACTTTTCAATTGTGTCAATTTAATCATAAACCTTTTAACAATTTGTCAATTTAGTTATTTCGGTCAATTTGGGTCGAAAAGTGCTAATGTAACAGTCTAGTTAGCATCGGTCATTTTATGTGGCACGGCCAGCGCTGATGTGGAATTTTATTTTTTTTTTATATTTTTCCCCCTCGTCTAGCCACCAGCGATTATTAAGTTATACATATGTGAGATGAGAGAGAAAAACATTATATAATAATGCATGAATTGAGCTTATCTATGAAGTTTCATGCTTCGAATAAAATGTGGGGTTCATCTATATTTATCCACATGGTCTGCATAGAAACATGTATCATTGAATGTGATACTTAATTTTGTCAATTTATGCAACTATCCTATTAGAGTTTATGTACCTCAAGAAGTCTGTAACGTATCAACGTGAGACGACATCTTATAAGCAGTGGAATCGACACTTTGCTTCGTGAAGCTCAAAATTGGATTGCTCGAGTTCAATGCTACACCTCACATATTAGAATAGAATATTTATCTTAAAAAAATGGAAATTCTAACAATAGATTCTCATTCCTAAAGTAACATAAGTGAGGCATTAATTGTTCACCTTATTGGTTCCACGTGAAATGAGCAGGGAGGTCAGCCCTGCTCGCCCTACTAATTAACCCATGCACACTTTTAGAAAGAAGAATATTTTTATATGATTTAGGCTTCGTTCGTTTGGCGGAAAATATTCTCCTTTTGGAAAATATTTTCCCGGAAGTCATTTTCCTGGAAAAAATTTTTCCGGAACATAATTTTCCGGTGTTCGGCGACCAATATGAAAAAGTTTCGGAAAATATTTTTCGCCGGCCACCGGCGGCGGCGGCGACGGCGGCATGTTTTCCGGAACATAATTTTCCGGTGTTCGGCGACCAATATGAAAAAGTTTCGAAAAATATTTTTCGCCCGGCCAATGCGGCGATCGGCGGCCAGCGCGGCCAGCAGGCGGCGGCCGGCGACCGGCGAGCCGCTGCGACCGGCGGCGGCGGCGGCCGGCGGCAGCGGCTGCTGCACGGGCGGCGGCCGACCGGCGGGGTGCAGCGACCGGCGGCGGCGGCGGCGGCGGCGAGAGCGGAGCCGGCGGCCGGCGGCGGCGGCGGCAGCCGGCGCGGCGGCGGCGGCGACCGGCAGCAGCGGCGGCGATCGGCGGTGGCAGCGCCAACGTCCGGCGCCCAACGTCTGGGCGACCGGCGGCGGGCGGACCGGGCGGCCGCGGCCGGCGCCGCGCGGCGGCGAGCGGCGACGGCGGCGGGCGACCAGCGACTGGCGGCCGGCGGCCCAGCGACCCGGCGGCGGGGACCAGCGACCGGGCGGCGGGCGACCAGCGACCGCAGCCGCGGCCGGCGGCCGGTGGTTGGCGACCTTAGTGAATAAGAAGAAGAAGAAACTCCGGAAAATGATTTCCACTTTTGAAGAAGCGGAAATCATTTTCCATAGACTTAGGCTATTTTGTGAAGGGGGGAAGGAAAATATTTTCCCACGGAAAACGTTTTCCGCCCTCCGAACACCGGAAAATCCGGAAAATATTTTCCGGGAGAATATTTTCCGCCAAACAAACGGAGCCTTAGGCTGCGTTTGGGAACACTTTGGGGGAAAGTCTTTGGGGAAATGTAAAGGACTTTAGGTTGAAGGGGTTTTTCAAAATGCAAATTGTGTTTGGTAAGTTGTAACTTAAAAGTCCTTTGCAAAGTAACTTTGGGTAAATTAACGTTTGGAAAAATTATACTTGCAAAGCTCTTTTTTTATTTTTTATTAAAAATGTTGAAACTCTTTGCCGGCTCTGTCGAAGGGCAGCCGGCCGCCGGCGACCCAGATCCGGAGCCGGCGGCCGTCATCTGAGGCGAAAGGACCTCCGGCAGCCCTCGGCGACCACTGACGATGGTCGCCTGGGGTCGAGCGACCCTCGACGGGGGTCACCAAAACCAGGCGAGGGCCGCCGGCGACCCAGATCTGACGCCTCGCGGCCCTCGCCTGAGGCCGACCGACCTCAGCTCGTCGATACCGACGAAAGGACCGCGACCCAGATCTGACGAAAGGACCGCGACCCACATCGCGACTAAGGTGAGATCCAGCGCCGGCGCCCGGCAGATCTCGCATCAGATGCAGATCTCGACCGACCTCAACTCATCGGTGGTCGCCGAGGGCTGCTGGAGGTCCTTTCGCCTCAGACGATGGCCGCCGGCGTCGGATCTGGGTCGCCGGCGGGCCTTGAGGGTTGTCAAGGTCGCGCGACCTCAGGCGGCCCTTGCCCGGGTCGCGTTACCCCTCACGGCGGTCGTGCGAGCTTAGGCGACGGTCGGTGGGCTGTGCGACCACGCTGGCCCCCCTCCGGCCGGTCGCCGTCACCTCACAACCACGCTGCCGAGGTCTCAGCGAAGAAGATGATGAACAGTACATATAAGGCCAAAACCGGAAAATCAAAAAAATGATGAGGGTAGTTTCGGAAGAAATTTTTTTCACTTACTCTTAGAAGTTGTATGCCGAGAAAGCTGAAAGCCCAAGGCAGCCTAGGACCTGCCTTGGACTTTCAGCCTTCCGAAGGCTTTCTTTTCCTCAAGGTAAGTTGCAAAAAATTTACCAAACACCCAATATTTGGCTGAAGGAGCTTTGGACCCCTAAAGGCCCTTGGGAAAGCTATTCCCAAACGCAGCCTTATTCTATTTTATTTGTAATTTTTGGTATAAATATCTGAAACAATCGTCAATTCCTTCGAGTTTCATTCTTGCGAACGTACTCCCCATGCATGCTACAGCACTGCCTGGGTTGATACGTACAACGCCTAGTATCGATCGTTTACGGTTAGGACTACTGGGGTATCTAATCCCATTCGTTCCCCTAGCTTTTGCCTCTCAATGTCAATGTCAACTCAGCAGAGTATTTGCGCAATATTATAGGATCCATGATTCAGTATATTTTTAATAAAATTATAAAATTCAAATCGTAAAACCTCCGGAATAATTGGTTTCCACGTTTTCATCCCCATATTGTTCCACATTGACCAATTTGTGAAGGTTTTACGAGGTAACATCATCAAAGGAAGGGAGCTTTCACTTCTGTGAGGGCATTCGCGGCCTATTCCTATCCTATGGGACGAGCTCCATGGATGCTTTTCTTATTTTAACATGCTAGTGTCCGCACGCCTTGTACTCTCAATTCTTCTCATATCTTTGTCTTCTCTAAATGAGGGAATACTCTTTAGTTGCTTTACATTATGAGACGAGGTCCGGATGAGGCCCAAGATAAAGCTGTTTAAGAACACGAAGACCTGTTCTTTATTTAAGAAAAAACAATGAAATTGTCAACCAATTATGGCAATAGTTGTTTTTAAAAAAAAATTTCTAGGACATTTAGCGCAGGCCCCATTGCCCTGCAAAGGTAAAACACAACTCGCCCCGTGCCCGTCACTAGATTTTATTAAGATAAAATTCATAAACTTGTCCTCTATTTACCACTACTTAGGATGTTCATTCATCTTCTAATTCCTAGTAGTCTATGTTTATACCACGAGTTCAGTTTTCGAACTTTTAACTTGCGCAAGCTTAGACTCCAAGGCCACGTTAATCTGTCTATTCAGCTTTCAGGAAAGGAATTGCATCATTTGCATAATAATGCGCCACGAGAAGTTTAAAGTTCGCTTGCCTCGAGCCAGTCAAATTCGGAGGGCCACGACGTACATTGCGTCAATGACTCGCCAAGAGGATACATAGAAAACCCTATCCTCTAACCTCACGTCTCTCTCTCTCTCTTTCCTCTTCGTCTCTCTGGTCGGTCGCTTTTGTCTTCCACCTCTTCCCTTGATCTGCAACTCGAGACCATGGCCACCGCCCCACTCTCTCTGTCTATCTCTCTTCGAGGTCAGCACCACCTCCGTCAACCGCCATAGCCACTTCCCCGGCCACGACCCCCATAAACCCCGTCCTGACCATTTTCGGATCCTCCCTCTTTCTCTCTCCCTGGCTATCATTTCGCGGTGGAACAAAAGGACAGAGAGCTTGCCATCTTGGTGCTTAAGTGATGGCGGCAACCGACGCGGCTTCGAGAGATGGCGATGACGACTACTGTGATGGCACTCTGTTTCGTAACGAGGGAGAGAAACGAGATAGTTGCAGTGCAGCAAAAACAAAAAATGAACAAAAAACTGACGGTGAGTAAAGGGAAAACAGAGGAGGAGAGAGAAAACTAGTTTTTGTTTTTTGGTGATGTGGTGTGATTAGGCCTACAGAACAAAAATAAAGTGCACCAATCAGTGAACGACTCCCGGGAGCAGCATCCGGTAGCGGCTGCCGCGCCGGCGGCCAATTTGAGCCATATAAAATACAAGAGCGTGTATTTTAGCGATGCTTCACCGACTAGTAACAGAATGACTCATAGAGCCTAGGACATATCGATGCTCACCAGATAAAGAGCATGGAATAAGATAAGAAACTAAACCATGAGGCTCATCGCCCACCTGACAGAAGCGATTCTACGACAGAAGATGATTGCGGGAATGCCTTGTCCATGGAGGACGGAGGCATGGCCAAATCATCAAAACCTTCGTGATGACTGAATGTTAACCTGCTGCCGATGGACGACAACTCCGGCATCGGAATATCGCCTTCCAAGTATTGCAAAACTTGACGCATGCTCGGCCTCATCAACGGGTCGGAGTGGGAACACATCAACCCGAGTTTCAGCACCAACTCCATCTCTTCTTCCACAAACTCCGCCCCCAACTTCGGATCTCTTGCCTCGAGAATTGCACCTCGGTCCCAGCAAGAAAATACCCAGTCCACCAATATCGCGTCCTCCGCGTCCCGAATCTTTACCGGCCTTCTCCCGCAGGTGACCTCAAGCAAAAACACTCCGAATGCGAACACATCAGTGCTCCTAGTGGCCTTGCCGGTTCGCATGTGCTCAGGGGCGAGATAACCGAGCGTTCCTGCGACATGAGTAGTTTGAGGGTCGGTTCCATGGTCATATAATCTTGCAAGCCCAAAATCTCCAAGTCTTCCATTTAAGTCAGCATCTAGCAAGATGTTACTCGCCTTTATATCCCTGTGGATCACCACTTGCTCCCACCCTTCATGCAGATAAAGCAGCCCAGATGCCACTCCTTTGATCACCCTAAATCTTTGGCTCCAATTGAGGATGACCTTTGGTTGGTTATAGAGGTACTTGTCGAGGCTCCCATTGGGCATGTAGTCGTAAACCAAGAGCAACTCCCCTTTCCGGCGGCAGTAACCGAGGAGCGACACTATGTTGCGGTGACGGAGCCGACCGATGCTGAGGATCTCCGCTACAAATTCTCTCATGCCTTGTCTCGATTCATGGGAGACCCTCTTCACCGCGATCTCTATCTTTGATGTGGGTAAGATTCCTCTATAGACCTGACCAAACCCACCCGTCCCTAATAGCTCTTGGTTCCGGAATCCTTTTGTCGCAATATAAAGATCTTTGAACTTGAACCGGTGTGGGCCGTAGTCCCTCTCCCAATCTTCGAGCACCTCGGCAAATTTCCGTTTCCTTCTCATCACGTAAACTACGCTCAAGATCAGCATTGATATGACTAAAAGAACCACCCAGGGTAGCCCAATCGTCAGTACTTTCGACGTCTCCTTTTTATTGATCTGAGAAAGCTTAGGAAGTTGGGACAGGGCAAGTGCCTGAGCCTTTCCATTTACCATGAAGCTCCAACCCAGAACATGGTGAGAAGTCCCGAACGAACCGGTCGATGACGAAAAGCCAACATACATGTTCTCGTTGATAATCGACGAGAGATTGCATGTAAGAGATAGAAGGGGAGTGTTTGGCTTTCGCACTTTGATCGGAGCCAATGTGACATTGATCTGCTTTTCCGTGCCATCGTAGTCCACCCAAACTTGCATTGCTTTACCGCTGATTAGAGTCAAGTTCTTGAACTTCCCCCCCTCTGCATAATACCCCGCTGGAGCTGACTTTGCTGATGTCAACCCGTTCAAGTCGATCCCAACGTGATTATCGTTGATGTCCTGAAACTCGGTGCTCATGATCGTGTCAAGTTCCACCCCGAACACATGATTGGTGGGGTCGCCGACGTTGGTTTGGTTGAACATGCCGAGGTATTGGCTCGGCAAGGACCCGGGGAAACCTCTCTGGGGCGCGACCACAAAGACGATCCCATGGCCCCTCAGAGTCGCATACTGAGCTTGATTAGCCAAGACGAACGTGGTGGAGAAGGAGAAGACGGAGCCGTTTGGCGAGTTCTTGAACTGGACTGGGTCGGGATGGAAGGCGTGACCCATCTGCTGTTTGACGTCGTAGCCCAAATTCAGGAGGCCATTGGAGGTGACCCAGGCCATCCCATCGAGGCGCAGCTCTCCCAATTTGAAGCCGTTGTACACGAAACTGGTCTCTTGAGCGTAAGCCAAAACGGCTAGCAGAGAAACCAGAACAAGAATCTTGAAGAACATGGCTCAAACTCAAAGTCTGCTTAGCAATTAGCTAAATAATTATGCACTTACAAAAGCTGTAAAAGTCCAAAAGAGTCTTTTTCTTACGACCTTAAACGAATGATGCAAATTTAAAAAATTTCTGCTTCACGTGAGTCATATGAATTGATGGATGTCTTGAACTATCAATGGATGAATCCAATAGCGCTCTGTTTATAAGGCAAATAGTCTAGCATAACAGTCTAAATTGATAGGTAAAGAGACATCATAAAAAACATATAATCTTGTGTGGAATTTAGAATTTGACTAACAAGTTGACTAATACCATGATGAGAATAAAGCGAAAAGAAGAATTGAGTAGCTTCTATATTTCTTGTTTATTATGATGAATAGTGCATCATCATTTTTTAAGATGATTATCTAAGGCAATAAGATATTATGATATCAATTCTAGTCAATAAGGGATATGCGCAATGATATATGCACAATCCTAAAAGATATGTATAATATAAATAAATATCCTATTTATCTCTAACCTCGCCTCAAATTCAAGTGATGAGAAGGTTGATTGGAGTTTGAATACATAGGTAATATGATTAACTGATTGTAGAAAAAATGGCCCAGCGGTCTAAGAGATAACAGACTGACGTGGTTGTTGGCTGTTGATGTGATTGCGGTGCACGGACGGCAGAAAAGGCTGACATAACTACACGCAAGGACGGCAGAAGAGAAGAGGCTGACGTGGTTACATGGTAGGCTACCAATATCACCACCAAAGGAGATGAAAGATCGATATCGAGAGAGCATAGTTATTAAAAGAGAGAATGGGCAACCGGGAAATTTTAGAATTGCCTGAACTCTGATAACACGATAAGAACAAAGAGAAAATATTATTGAGTAATTTTTGCATATTTAGATTTATTAAGATGAAGAGTAACATTAGCTTATTTATAGATTTTACAACATGATTATTTAAGATAACATAATATTGTGATATCAATTCTAATCAATCAATATATGCACAATCAAGGGCAATATATACACAATTCTAAGAAATATAAAAAATCAATAAAAATATCTTATTTATCTCTAATATTGTTAAAATATCTCACATTACTTAATAATGAGGTTTATATATACTTTATATATTTGTGATATCCTTTTATTAAGCTTTTGGCTTGAACATTCTAACGGTTGTTAAAGTCGGGTTCTTTTTATATTGTGGGTGCACCTACTTCATTCATCAAATTTTAAGTGTCGTCGCAGACTCCGAATCAGGGAACGACTTTTTGTCAAAAGTAATCTAGGGGCACAGACACCCTTGATAGTCCAAGAATTAAGAGCCCTTGTGGCTCGACTCATGCCTGCTGTGGTTTTTTTTTTTTTATGGAAACTAAAAATCAAGAGTTGGTTCTTCGGAGAATAAGGAGGATACTACAATTTCAGAATTGTAGGGTGGTTAACCCGATAGGAACTACCAGTGGTTTGGCTATCTTGTGGAATGATAGAGTTGAACTCACTTTCGATTCTCAAACAGAGAGTTATATGAATCTTAGGTGCAAAGACTTATCGAGCGGCAAGAGGATGAGAGTCACTTTTGTTCATGCTCATTATCATTTTCAAAAAAGATGTGAACTGTGGGAGGTACTCCGTGTTATGAGCTTATCAAACTCATTGCCCTGGGTTTGTCTCGGAGATTTTAACAAAGTGCTGTTCTATTGGGAAAAAGTGGAGAACCGTTTGGCTGAAATTTCTTGTATGACAGAATTCCTGGGTTTTCTGAATGCTTGCTTGTTAATGGACATGGAAAGCAAAGGATGCACCTTCACTTGGTCGAATAACAGAAATGGAGTGGAAAACATCAAAGAACGTCTTGACAGGGTTTTATGCAACATGGAATGGAGGATCTTATTCCCTAAAGCATAAGCTTTTGCCCTCCCAGCAATTGGTTTTGACCATAGCCCTATAGTTCTATCTCTTCAAGGCAATCATGAGAAACGTAAAAAGGAGTTCAAATTTGAAGCTTTTTGGCTTGAAAATAACCAATGTAAGGACATTATAAAGAAAGTTTGGGATTCCCCCCTCCAGGCTGTGACTTTTGCATTGACAAAATGGAGTAAGAAGACATTCGGAAATGGACAGAAAAGAATATGTTCACTGAAACAAGAGCTCCAATAATACATGAATAGAAGTGACAGTCCTTTCGATAGAGAAAAGGTCAAGAAACTGCAGGGAGAAATTGAGACATTGTGGAGACAGGAAGAGATGTATTGGGGGCTGCAATCAAAGATAAACTGGCTGAAATGGGGTGATAAAAATACTAAATTTTTCCATGCGACAACAATTCAACGAAGACAAAGAAATAGAATCTTGATGATTAAAACTTTAAACGACACCTGGATTTTAGAACCAGGGCTGATTAAACAAGCCACAATGATGTTTTTCGGAGAGTTGTACCTGGGATGACGGAGGGTTCAATCGCGTGGGTATGTCGTGATTCTGCTGGTTGTTTGCTGCATGGAGCTGTGAAAACAGTTGCCGCGGCGTCGCCTCTCTTGGTTGAAGCCCTCGCCTAAGAGGATGCTCTCCATGATGTTCTCTCTCCTCAAAATGAAGAGAATGGACTTTCCCCTCCCCTGCATGATGCGATTGAAGTGGTGTCTGGTCTTGGTCAATGCTCTCACGTGCCCTCACCAACTCACTTGGGAAGCCCATGTGCCAATTGGAAAATGCAAGGAAATTCTGCTCACTCTCTCTAAAGTCCATGTTTTGTATTGCCCTAGAGAGGCCAACTCGATTGCCTACTGGGTCGCTAAAATCCACCGAAAAAATACCTTACCTCCGAATTGGGTTTCGTCCCCTCCCCTAACTCTTTGGGAGTTATTATGTAATGATGCCCATCTCTCGGGCCTTTCCAACTTTGAATAAGGATAATGAGAAGTTTCTTTTCTGATAAAAAAAAAAAATTTCTGGGGGCGGAGAGATTCAACGAAGGTGGGCGTGACAAAATCAAAAGCGCGTCAATTTTCTTCCCATAATAAAACAAAAAAATGTGTTCCATGAGAATATTTGAGGGAGGGCCAAAAAGAAAATGGAAGGACGAAGACTATTTCCGGTCGCCATTTCCCGGCTGGTCTCCGCGTGGGGTCCACGAAAGTTCGAGGAAGAAGCAGTTTTGTTCAAACGTTTTTGTTGCTTTAGGGGTCCATAAGGAATCGCCATCTCGATCGTGGGCTCCTTGATACAACCCCCATGAAATATTAGGTCAATATCATAAAAAACTTTAAATTAATATATTTATCAAAAATTTATCAAAAATTAATTTTTTGATCATCTTAAATCCCAAACTGATATATTTATAATAAATTTACTTAGTTTTCGTTAAATTTAAATATCAAATTGCTGAGTTTGATGACACGTGACAATTAACGGGTGTATAGATTTAGGGTTTTACCCTCTGTTTATTACAAGTGTACTGATTTGTGATTTTCGTGATATTAATTTAATTTAACGAAAACTAATGGAGAGTAAATTCGTCATAAATGTATCAGTTTATGATTTTTGGTGGTTAAAAAATTATTTTAGAACATATTTGTTACATGTGTATTAGTTTAGAGTTTTTTGTGATATTAACCCTAATATATTTCGTGTACCTAGGCATGTAACAAGAGAAAGGGCATGGCCACATCTCATGCTATGTGAGAACTTCTATTTATTTTTTTAGATTTACACTCATTTTGGATGGAGTTATTAGGAAGAGAAAAAGGGGATCTGGATAATTACAGGAGAAAAAAAAATAAGAAAAGGATTTTGTACCGTTGTTAAGATGTTAGCGAGGAAAAATAAAGAAAAAAGAATGTATTATGATTGAAATATTTTCTTATGTATAAAATAAAGATATACAAGGACAGCACAAGTTGTGAAAAAATTGTGAAAAAAGTCATAAATTTATTGTGAATTTGCCAATTAAGTTATAACCCTTTTTATTGTGCCAATTGAATTCTAAACATTTTCACATTTTGCCAATTAAGTCGGGAAAAGAGTCAGAAAAGTCCTAAACTTATTGCATTGATGCCAATTCAATCCTAAACTTTTTTTTATGCCGATTCAATCCTAAACCTTTTGTCTTTGTATCAATTCAATCATTCTAACTAATTTTGGCCGAATTTTGCTGACGTGGACGCTGGGCGGCTTACGTGACACCATCGGCGATGACGCGGACAACTTTTATTAATATTTTAATATTTTTCGATTTTTTTATTTTTTTCTTCTTTCTTTTTCCTTTTTTTTTTTCTTTTCCCTTTCTTTTTCCTCCAAACGATCGTTCAACCGGCGACCAGCTGGAGGCCAGGGCCAGGCAAGTCCTGCCGGCCTCGCCTAGCTGCTAGTGAGGCTCGCCCGCGACCTCGCCGAATCTGGCGAGGTCGTGCCTCCCCCATGGCCGGCAGGGCTCGACCCTCTCCAGATCCAGCGAGGGCGAGCCTCGCCAACCCAGCGCGAGGGCGGCCTCGCGCTAGGTTAGCAAGGGTCGAGTCCCGCCGGCCATGGGTGAAGCCCAACCTCGCCAGCGGCTAGTGGAGCTTGCTGGACCGGCGACTGGCTAAAGGAAAAAGAAAGGAAAAGAAAAAAATAAAAATAAAATTTTGAAAAATATTAAAATATTATTAAAAGTTATTCACATCATCGCCGATTGTGCCACGTAAGTCGCCTGGCGTTCACGTCAGCAAAATTCTGCCAAAATTAGCCAGAAGGACTAAATTGGCGTAAAGACAAAAGGTTTATGAATTTTTATTTTTTTTCTTCTTTTCTTTTTTTTTCTATATTTTTTTAACCCTTGGCCGCAAGCGAGGGCTAGCGACCCTTGCCTGGTCTAGGCAAGGGCGTTGCTGCCCTTGCAAGGTCAACGAGCGACCTCGCTAGCCTAGGGTTAAAAACAAGAAAAGAAAAAATAATAATAATAAAATAATAATAAAATTGGAAATTTTTTTAATTATATTATTAAAAATTATTCACGTCAATATGGACCGTGACATGTAGGACGGCTCACGTTGAACAACTGGCGTCCATGTCAGCGATTTCTGGCTAAAATTGACCGGATAGACTCAAATGGCAAAAGGTGAAAATGTTTAGGACTCAATTGGCACAATTAAAAGATTTATGACTGAATTGGCAAAAGTGCAATAGATTTAAGACTTTGTCGGTAATTTTTCCTAAGGGTTATAATTTTCGTACAACACTTACTTGAGTATGATAATTTTTTTTTCAATTACTTAAGTGCCACGTTGGTTGAGAATTATTCACTTGAGTACCTTTGATAACATATTTTAGCAATTTGTCCTACGTTGCTTTTGAAATAGCAATTTGAATCCGATTTAGCTTTTTAAAGAAAAGTTCAAATCCAAAGTGAAAAATGAAGGAGACCACTTGGCAAATGGGACTGAAAACGATGCCATTCGAAGAAACCGATTCTCTCTCTCCCTCTTCCTAGAATTTTCTCGCATTTCTTTCCTTTGTTCTTCTTCTACCTCCTTTTATCTCCACCACAACCGCCGCTCAAACTATTGACACACACGAGCTCCAATAGATGGATTTGGCTGCCGACGAATGAACAGTCTCCTGAGAAAGAGACGAGCTCCACTGTTGCCATATCCATTGAATTGACGACCGTCACCAGCGTCGAAAGAGGCGATGAACTTTCCTCACCTATTTCATCAGAAACTCAATAATTGTTGGAAAGAGATAGAGAGAGAGTGCATGCTCAAGTATAAATAGTGA